TGCTGAACAAAACAAGCTTGTCAGGAGTAGCCACTTGCTGTTGTGTCCTGGGCAGCTGTTCATGCTGGTGTCTTCAAGCCTTTTGTTGTCTTGTCTGGTCAGAAAAAGAGGAGCCTACTACAGTGGTGCTTTTGTGTATGCAACGATACCTCACTCAAGACTTCCAGGCGTACCGCACACAAGAAGAACTCTCAGTCTCAACCACCACGGGCATTACGAGTTAAGATAGATAAACATTGCAGTAATGATAGAATAGAATGCATAACGGGTATACGGGTAAGAGAGCTATTGCGACTCTGAGAGAACAACGAAAACCACCAAAGAAACAACCAAGGAACAAACCACTCAAAGCGCTGTCATCAGCAAAACGTGCCAGTACCGGTGCACACACGGCGACACAAGCGAACTCAGCGTACCAAACACGCAACAAATAAGGCAAGCCAGATATCGTGCACGCGTGAGATGACCGCTTATGACGGTACGCGGGATACACGACTGCAGAAACATGGCAGCGTCTCGTGCACGCACACAAAATAAATAAACAAATAGAAATTCAAACTACAATAATTAATCCGAAAGGAAAGAGGAAAGAGACGTATGGGAAGCCGAAGGGTTTCACCTGTCAGTGGGTGCTTGCACCCGATATGGGTGACAGTAAACCCTGTCAGATAGTGACACATCGTAGGATTACTCAGCAGCGGAACTTCACTCAGGGAGAATAGTAACAAAGCACGTAAGTAACTCTAGCAAATCGTGAACTCTACTAGCAAACGCACGCAATGTTCATAATTACTCAGACGACACTCGTGGCCAAAGACCAACAGGTAAGAGAAGTTACCTAATACAGAATCAATTGGACTAAATCAATGGCATGCTGCAACAGCTAGCAGGAAAACAAGCAAGGAGTCGAAGTCGTGACGAGATCTCAGGACGTGCAACGGAGACCTTTTCAACGCATTTACAACAGGTGCCAACTTCAATCCGACCACTGGTTTTCATGCTCGAGAGCAACACTAACCCTAGCAGTCTCTATTTCGTAGTGTTACAAACGGGTGTTGGGTCTTTGCAATCCGAATATTTGCCATGATCATGCTGGGGATTTGCATACATGCAGTGAGTTTCTGTCAGCGAGTGCTTTTTAATTTCCACGTTGCTAGCTAAAAACAGGCTGGAAACGTACAACTGCAACACTACACCACGTGATGTGAGTTTTCGCCGTCGGCAAACCCCATAGAAAGGGTATCAGGAGTTGCACACTCTTGGGGCTTTTATACTCTTGCTACTAGTATCCTCCTGCTAGGAGCCAAATGAAGATGGCGGCACTTCCGCCGACGGAGCTTTTGACGACTCCCTACTTTGCCCTGTGGGATGGTCAACGTTTTTGCCTCTGTCACACAAAATTGTCTTTTGGCTGTGGATTAATGATAATGTAAACCTGGAAACCTTTGTGATCTGGAATTCTTCGCTGTATCCACGATGGATGTGATATGGCTAAGTAAGCCGACACGAGATGTAGAACTGTAGTAAATAAACTAAGGAGAATGACTCCAATTGCAACCATGTCAAGGTGCTCCCACACCACGAACTGAAACTGTGGCAAGCGTTTCGGGTTTACACTACCACGATTATTCTACTGTCACCACCAGGACTTGAACCAGAGACCTAGGCTTGAGGCCAGCCATGCTCTAACCACTGAGCCATGGTGTAGCTGTCATCCCATGATTGTTCTGTTTTTCATTGCTCTACAGCTAACCTGGGTACAAGATGTACTGACAGTACTGGCACCAACTACCAGATCTACACTGACCCGTTTCCTGAGAAGACTTGGAAGGCTGCAAATGCCCGGTGCACTTCTCGAGGTGCAAAGTTGTTCAACCTCACCGACAAGAACACGTCATGCTTTGTGGACTATCTGGCTGATATGCATGACCGACTGAATATCGGGCAGATGTGGACTGATGACGAACAGTCGAATCCAATCTCCACGAAGAGAGATTCGACATTCCAGGAAGTCACCACCTCTGATCCAAATCTGGTGGTCTGTCTTTGTGAGTTATGGTACCTTACAGATTACATACACATGTACACCATACTAGACACCCTTAGCAAACAACGTTATGTTGTAACTTTATTACCGTATTAAGGGGGGGGGGATACCATGATCTGCACTCGACCTTTAGCAAGATGCACGCTATTTTTAGTACGCTGTTGCCACGAGAATAGCTTTTACTTCGCGCGGTACAACCACTTATGTCACAATATACGCGATACAAGGTGAAATTCGTACGGACTATGCAATATTTGGCCAAAAACGTACTTGGTCCGCGTCAGCGATATTGTCGTTTATATTTCAGCTTTGTTTATATGTCGCCAATGCTTACTTGGCAGCCCATTTCATCCCAATTTTGGTTAGCAAGTTAGTTTGCTAGTACCTGAAAGGGCTAGCTAGAGTTTGAGTGGATTTCGAGAGCGACAGGTGGGTAATTCTGATTGATACAGCGCCGCATCAAAATAGATTATCTTTGTACGCTGTGCAGGCAAGAGCAGCGCAAGCCACAAGAAAGTAATCGGTTACTCGGAATCAGCTCCATTTTGCTGAACGGCCGAGATCGCTCACCTCAGGGATCGCTCATCAAGCTGAGACCGTAGCTCCCTTACCTCCAGCTCAACGCTCGGAGTATCCAGCGCGTCGTGGAGATTTGCAAGTACTGTACTCGTCGCCGTCGTTCAAAATAAAATCTTGCAAAGAACAGCGTCTGATTTGAACCACACAGGCTGTCGTGCTGCCCACGCGAAGTCCTATAGAGAAGGCGACCGTCATGATCGACTTCTCTTTAGAAAAATAGCCAGGCAGCGGAGAGGAAGAGAGATGAGCTTGCAAAAGCAAGAGAGTCGATCCCGAGCAAAAATATTTGTCGCCAGCGCCGAGAGCAGCGACGAGGAGGACCGAAAAAGTAGGAACCCTTCCTTGGACAATAAATTCCTTGCAGCTAGTTGTCATTCTATACCTTACCGTCCATCGCACCAAGTTTTATCACTTCAAGTGCACGCGTTCAAGTCCAAAGTCTAAGTTCAAATTGTAGAAAGATAAGCGACAATATTGCTGACGCGGACCAAGTACCGTTGGTCACAACAATAAATCAGCCCCCATAACGTGTTTACGCTGCAGCTTCAACGTTACTTGGGCGATCAAGGTACGAGTACCGTAAAAAAATAGTGTTACCGTTGTTTGCTAAGGGTGTCTACTGATTACATACATGTAATGTAAGTCAACTAATGTTTGGACCGTAATTACCTCACCTCCATGATGAAGCCCCATGGGAGAAAATTTGGAGATTTCTTTTGAATAGAATTTGCAGCGTCAACGACCTTGGTGTGGTGGTGGTCACTGATCGTGAGATACATGATTGTACAGTACACCATAGTGATTACATGCCCATACAGTACACCATAGTGATTACATGCCCATACAGTACACCATAGTGATTACATGCCCATACAGTACACCATAGTGATTACATGCCCATACAGTACACCATAGTGATTACATGCCCATACAGTACACCATAGTGATTACATGCCCATACAGTACACCATAGTGATTACATGCCCATACAGTACACCATAGTGATTACATGCCCATACAGTACACCATAGTGATTACATGCCCATACAGTACACCATAGTGATTACATGCCCATACAGTACACCATAGTGATTACATGCCCATACAGTACACCATAGTGATTACATGCCCATACAGTACACCATAGTGATTACATGCCCATACAGCACACCATAGTGATTACATGCCCATACAGCACACCATAGTGATTACATGCCCATACAGCACACCATAGTGATTACATGCCCATACAGTCACGCACTTTTAAGTCACGCACTCGCGATAAGTCACGCACTTTTTCATCCAGGACACCCATCTCAAGATTTTTTTATTTTTCGGGATTTTGTGGATTTCGTGGATTTCGTGAATATTTGCGAATGATGTCGTTTTCAATGATGGAGCTTGAATACTGTAAAGGTAAGAATATAATTATTATGTGCATACATGTATTGTATGAGAGCCTTCACCCACGACAATCCAAGTTTGTCAGTCACAAACTTCTCCCTTCGAAGCAAAATATACTTCACTAGCCGCTCCTCAATTTTCCCGAACTGGGAACTTCTGTTGCGGACTCCCGGTGGACCAGACGGATTAGCATCGGCGAGTTTGCCAGCTTCAGCATCCCTCAGCCAGCCGCGGAACATCGCCTCCGGAACATTGTTCAACTTCGCAAATTTTCGAGCGGAGGTTTTTCAACTCTCACGATAGCGACGAACCAAACGCAGTCGATCAGCCACTGTTCGCTGTTCTTTCGTTTTCTTATGAGAAGGCATCGTCAAGCAAAGGGAAACGAAGTGTTTACACGACGGAAACAGAAGTGCGTCCTGTCAAATGTCTACCAAAACGGCAAAAGTAACGGAACGTCGGTACTTGTCTTTCTCGATCATGCCTTCATATCGATCATGGCTTCACGCTGTGGTAGATCTTCTTCTCGTGTACAGCAGTATACAGTCAGTGTAGACCAGGGAGTAGTACTACTCCCTGGTGTAGACTACAGACAGTGTACCGTGCGCATGCAGCTCAGTGCTTGTACGCGTGTTCAGCACACATGTCCATATGCAGAAGAAAAAATGACGGCTGTACATATGCATGACGCGGTGCATATTGTAAGTCGCGCACTCGCGGTAAGTCGCGCATTTTCTATTCCGGGACACTGTGCGTGACTTATCGCGAGTAGACTGTACCGCACACCATAGTGATTACATGCCCATACAGTACACCATAGTGATTACATGCAGCATACTGATCACCTGTACACCATACAGGTTACAAACGCAGTACAGATTGCATACATGTAGACTGTACTGGACCATATTGATTGCATACACCGTACTATTTGCATACACCATATTGATTACATACACCGTACTAATTGCACAGACGACGATATACTTTCTCCATTTCTCCATCAATTTCGGGGGGAAACATTCTGAAGAATTTCAAACCAGCACTGGTTTGGGAGTACAATTTCAGAAAGCATCTTTTCCTATCCAGGTTGCACTAGCCCGCCTACTAATATTTTTCTTTTCACTCCTTTTTCTTGTCTGTTCCCAGTGGCTGTGTCAGGACGATGTGGAGACTTAGTGGCAGAGTTTAACGAGCATAGCACCCAATATATATCGCTTAGAGAACAAGCCAAAAAACTCTGTGCCCGACGAGTCCTCTTCGACTACTGGTTCCACAAGTCCCAGTGCATGTTCGATTTCTTGCAGCCCTTGGCGGCCCACTACCGCTTCACGGAGTTCTGGGACTACAGCTCCGATGTGGTTACGGCTATTGGGCGACCCGCCTTGTTTTACCAGCAACCCACAGCGTATATTAGCAGTCTGATTGTGTGTGTGGGTAAGTAGCTCTGATTACTGTAATGTTACATGTGTGGTTCTTTACCCATCCTCATTATTATTGACATTTCATCCTCAATTTCATCCTTAATTTGCCGACATTGCATCCTCAATTTCAACCATAATTTGTTGACGCTTTCGCAATTTCACTTTCACAGTGAAAGGCTACCACATCTATATGGGCATGGAATTTGAGCACATCAGGAAAACATCACATCATTGTATATCACAAGAAACAATTAGAATACTAGTGCGACAGGCTAAGCAAACAACGTCGACAGGGACAAACCTCCACCATCTTCTGAAACATCTGAAGAAAGCGCCCAAGCAAACGATTCCCACTTTATCGATAGCCAACTCCACTGCAGCCACGACCATGGAGAAGGCAACAGCTCTCAACGAGTTCTTTATCTCTCAAAGCCAACAGTCCATCAACAAGACTGCTTGTACTACACCAGACATCAACACCACCCCTGATATACTGTAGTGTCGCGTATAAAAGCATGACCTGTATAGAAGAATGACTAGAATGGAAGCCGATTTTTCGAAGCGCTCCGTGACACAGAAGCACGATTTGAATAGAAGCGGCTCTCTACAAAGTACATGCGCACGTACATGTGTGCCAGTGTGCACTGCACAGTGTAGACTGATGATGTTAACATAAAAGCATGTTTTGGATAGAAGCATGGTTTGAACCCGGCTTTTACGGCCTTAAGCCCATGCTTTTGTACGCGCATCATTATGGTACCTCATACCCTATTACAATCGCAGCAACAGAGGAACAGGTTGATAAACTTCTAAGCAGTCTAGAAGTTGGCAAGAGCCCAGGCTTTGACAACATCCCGACTCGGCTCCTGAAAGAACTGCAAAGGAAATCTCCCCTTCTCTCTACAATCTGTCCCTCAGGACCGGAGCCACAGGATTGGAAATGAAAAGACGCAACTATTACATCCATTCCCACGACTATCCTTCTCAGCATAATGGTTGGCTATCAACCACATCTTCCCGTTTTGGCTGCCATTGGAAGCCATAAGATGTTGAATAAATGAATAAATAATATCAAAAAAACACAAGAAAATAGTCCACTCTCGTCTGTACAATCGCATAGCACCGCACTTACCTCCCAACCAATCCGGCTTCAGGAAACAAGACGGGACCGAACTGCGTTCACCAGATATCAACAGCTAGGGATGCTGGGAAGCATGTTGTTGGTTGTTTCTTCGACCTCAGCAAAGCATTTAACCGTGTATGGCATCAAGGCTTGCTGAAAAAGCTGAGCCATTACGGTGTCGACGGCAACGCTCGGAAGTGGCTCAAAGCCTACTTGGCAGGATTCAGACAGCGTGTTCAGGTTGAAGGCACAACACCCGCCTTCATTCCATTCCAGCGTGTGTGCACCAGGGCTCTATCCTGGGACCACTTCTGTTCCTGGCGTACACTATTGACCTGCCCACTGCCTGTGAAAATGCTACAACCTCGTGTAGCCAGTTTGCGGACGACACCGCACTGATTACCATTGCAGGCAGCGGCATTGAGTGTGAGGCTGCGCTACAAAGAATCGCCAATGCCGCAGCAGAAAGGCTAGAGCGCTGACACCTGCTAGTCAATAAAACGAAAACTGTCATCCTCCCATTCTACCATGCTAACTGACCCCTCCCCCCCCCCCCCCCCACGACTACCCGAAATAAAATTCGGGCAAACTCTACTAGAAACAGTAACACAGCAATGTCACCTTGGAATAATATTCCAACACGACCTGTGCTGGACAAAACACTTCGATAGTAGAGAGGTTCCGCATAACGCAATTACGTAAGTAAAAAACGTAGTCGATCTACGGAAAGTCTTACGTAAACTGCATGCGCATCTGTGTTCCGCCATACGGAGTTTTCAAATCATGTAGCTGCCCTTGGCAACTCCGAATGCGTTGCAGTGTTCGACCAGCTCGACCTGGGGAGAGAGTCATAAATTTGTACATAAATTTGTACTCCAATCCACTTATGGACCAGCTACGTTATCAGAGCCCTGTCTACGTACTCTCCGTAGACAACTTTCCGTAAGTGGAGTGCAAACTCGCCAATTCACGGGTTTTTCCCGCCCACTAACATAAAGTTGCTCAACTTTACATAGTGCGGAACATCTCTAGTATTATAGTTAAATCACTCAAGTCATTCAACTTGCTATTCCATCTAAGATCAACCCTTATCACTTCTTCTCTTGCAACCATCTCAACTTCACGCATCCCACCCCCATACTCTTATGCAAGCATGGCTGTATCCCCATATCCCACAGCCGTATCTTAGCCGTATCTTACAGATCACATAATTCTTTCAAGCCCTTGAAAGGTAGCTCTGTACGAAGTCACAGATTGGTCTTCTTAGCACGAGTGGAATTGTAACAGGAGGCATACTAGCAGCTCCAGTCGACACAACAAATCAAACTCACTCCTTCTGGGCTATCAAGAACTGAGGGGAAATCTCCGTCGTGGCCAGCTTCATATTTCAGAATAAATGCAGGGAGTCAAAATCAACTCCCTGCTGTGTTCAGAGTACGGTGTGTAAGGTAGAATAAGGATGTGTAAAATAAAGTGTTTTCCTAAAGGTGGATAGTGTGTAGACTGTAGAGTAATAGTTGTCCATTATGCATGAATAATAATAAGTCATTCGGGGATCACCATACAGAGCATGCAGAAAGAGTGAAAGTAATTTTGTGATTGGAAGGCCAACGGGAATGGGAGAAGCAGTCTCTAAGACCATTTCCATCACAGAAATGCTGTAATACAACAATAAATGTTATAACGTTTTACCCCTTGTGGATCCGAGCCACTGGTGTGCAACTCGTTTGACCTTCCTTTTCCTTTGTGTTTTTGACTGAAATCTAAAGTTTACGAAAAGAACTAGTGAGGCTTGTGTGCGTGTGTGTGTGTGTGTGTGTGTGCGTGTGCGTGCGTGCATTCGTGCGTGTGCGCATGTGTGTATGTGTGTGTGTATGTGTATGTGTGTGTGTGTGTGTGTGTGTGTGTGTGTGTGTGTGTGTGTGTGTGTGTGTGTGTGTGTGTGTGTGCGTGCGTGCATGCATGCATGTTCTTGTCTCGGTGCACATTATGTTTGCGTGTGTGTGCTAGTGTGTGGGCATTCGTGTGTGTTTGGGTGCGTATGTTGCGTGTTTTGTGTGTGTGTGTGTGTGTGTGTGTGTGTGTTTGCTCGTGTTTATTTGCTTGTAATTCCTTGCGTGGGCTTTTCGTTTACACAGAGGATGTCATCAACCGATGTACTAATGGTGATAATGACTGCCCTAAGGGCACAAGTACTTGCGTTGATACCGTTGGCTCATACTACTGCCGCTGTCTGGATACATACTACGGAGAGCGTTGCAACTGTGAGTTTGACTGCAGAATAGATCTCATGTTGAGCGTCGTAGTGCTATGGCTCAACTTGCATCACTTGCTATGTGGAACTGATGCAGGGAGGAATTAGCCCAAGGCAAGCATTTTCATCTGTAGATATTAGGGGTGAAACGAAGGTCTCAATTTCTACA